GATATGATTCCATTCCACATTCACAGCGGAATGGTTTAACTCCGCAAAAACGATACGGAACGTATCGGATTCAAGCGTCATCGTGTGAACAGAAAGCCTATCCTATTTAAAAAGTGATCTGATGCAAATTTAATCCAGTGTTGTGCGAACAGGGCCTCAGTTGTTGAAAAAGGAAATTTTTTAGACAAGAATGTGCTGGTTATATTTACTTTCAGCTTTTTGATTTTGCTAATAGCCTTCAATGGTCGAAGAACTCTGAGTACTCGCAAAGCTTTGACAGTCTGGCTTGTTTTTGTTCTGGAGTCAGCACTCTGTAAGCTGTGGAGAAGAAATTTTCAATTAATTGACTTGAATGAAGCGGCAAGATGGAAGCATTTTAAGAAGCAACACAGGAACGGGAAACAGGGGGGGGGGGAGGGAGCGGGGTGCCGTCCATTCCTAAATAAATGTGCTTTCTCAAAATAAACTTTACATCATGTCAAACAATACCCAACAATTATCGCGATTATTTCAAATCTTGATTACCACTATAGCAGAATATAATCAGTAATTGAAGATAAATTTTCAGTTTTTCATACTAAATCCAAAATGTGAGGAACTTTTAGGGATTTTTCTTTGTCAGTCTGCCCATACTCAACAATATTCCTTTCACTGATCCTGCATATGCAGCCAAATTTACCATTCCAATATTTCAAAAGAAATCTATAGAATCCTTCACCCTTGTTTTTATGCAAAAAAACAGGATTCCGATAAGTTATATAAGATTGAACATTTTGCAACTACATAGCGAAGTTTAATTTCCCGCTGTGACATCACAGTGATGAGTCGAGTCGAAACCGTTTAGTCAGGCCTGTTAATTCACTTATTATGTCGAATTGTGCAAATAGTGATACTAGCGTGAAACTATGCAACAAGGGACAGTTTGATACCCTGAAAGTTGCCCCATTCAGCTATTTTTAGCTGGGGTACTTTGCCCCAAGACTCTAGCTGCGATTTTGCGATATCACTGCTGTAATTTTGCGATATCACGGATAAAGACCCCAACTGAAATTTGCCCCCTCCTTCTAGTTTTAAAATTGTGGTTCTTTGTCCTAGACTTTAATTGACAGAATTATCGTATCTCAGTCTCACTTTGGCACAATACATAAAACTTTGCAATAAGGGGCAGTTTTATACGCTGAAAAAATAAAATATGGACCCCGACTGAAAATTACCCTCTTTTTTTAGCGTGGGGTACTTTGTCATGGACCATTACAGACGGAAATATCGTATCTCAGTCTCACTTTGGTACAATAGCGTGAAACACTGAAACAAAGGCAAAAAGGATAGGATATGGATGCAAATTGAAAAATGTACATTTGTGCTATTTTAGACAGGAACAAAGGATTATGAGGCCCCTCATTCATATGCCATTGATGATAAGAAAAACTATCGGTTGGTCATGCCAAACTGATAGGTAACCAAGGACACGCAAGGACACGCCTTGGCAAGAGTAGGGAGCCTAGATTTTTTTCATCTTTTACTGCAGTTTTAAAACAACTTGCTTCGAAGAAAGTGGCCATCTCGGCCCCCTCGGTGGCGTGGGCCCTGTCATTGTTTCGTGGTTATTATTTGCAGACTCATCCGTGCAATATATTGTAGTGACTATTTTTGGGCCATTTTGCACTCACTTCTTACTAATTCATCGAGCATGCCATCGTCATCCCCTTACATAATTCACGGGATCACATACCATAAGGACATCTCCTTCACCACTGTTCTTACAGCTTCACTCATCTAAATCAAGCTTACTCAACGTCTCTATGCTTAGATCTTTCTTTATAACATTGCATCATCCTTTCGTTATCCTAACTCATCCTTAATTAGTATTTTGATTTTTATCTCTCTCTCTCTCTCTCTCTCCATTTCTCTCTCTCTCTCTCTCTCTCTCTCTCTCTCTCTCTCTC